GTTGCAAGCAACTTAGAGGGGGGTCGCAGTATCATAAAGTTTGAGAACCCCTGTGCTAAAAATCAAAAGCTTCTGGGACTCGTGCATGTGGCCCACGCACACCTAAGTGGAATGGACACAAGCAACACATCTCGAAGAACAACAGTTATGAGGTAAGTGACTGGTTTTTTCTATGGAAAGCAGACACTTCTCATGACAAAACAAAATATCAAAAGCCTAGTTTTCTATCAAAAAAACAGTTTTGATGGACATCTTTGACCATCCTTGTCCCTGGTATCCCAGGGTGACAATAGTTTGTCGCACCGTCCAGGCTCCAGAAAAAGGTCATTCTTATTGCGTATGTAGCTGATTTCACTGTCAAGGTATGTTACAAATGAATCAATCCTACAAGAGACGTACATACAGGTTGGACCTCTCTGGTCCGACACCCTCCGGACCTGACTGGTCCCGAATGAGGGAATTTGCCGGACCAGGAGAGGTCCCCTGATATCAGGCCCTCCGCCCACCTCCCTTCCTTGCTGCCAGCCCCATCCACACCTCCCCCCTGTTGTGCTGCTAAGGCCCCAGCATCCTGGACTGCTGTGGCCCCGGCCCTGCTATTGGGGCTATTGTGTCGCTGGCCTACCTACTGGGGCTGGCCCTAGCTATGCTACTGGGGCTCTGGTCCCAGTCCCAGCCCTGCTGGGCTCTGAGCCACCAGCCCTCTTGCCACTGGGGCTCCCAGCCAGGACTCCCTGGTCCAGGAACAACTGATGTTGCTGGAGCAGAGTCTCCCAGTTTTGGGAGGTCCAACCTGTATTTCTTCTGCCTTATTGATAGCAAAACGAAGCCATGGAATGATTAAGTGGCTTGGACAAGACCACAGATGGAATCAGTGTCAGAACAAAGGTTAGAATTTAGGATTTCTGGCTTCCATTTCCACAGATCAGCCCATACTAGTTATTTGGTCTTTTTCGTGACTTAATAAGGAACTAGAACAACTGATGATGTACATATGTTTGTATCACTGAGAGTGTCTTGAGAAAATTTGAGAGATAAATAATAATAATAACAGTCTATATTTACATGTATCTTTTTTGTGCTTATATACTCAATATGCAAAATGCAAGAAGGAAAACATAATGCACTGTTGATTCAACATTGCGGTTCAGATATCAAACACTGAAAAATATAATTTTTCTTCTGGATTTCACTTGTCACTTTTCTGTATCTTGCATATTTTATGGCATAGATTAAATAACATAAGTAATAAGAGCCAAATTATGTTGTTGATTTTCAAGAATCTCATTGTTAGCTTTAAAAGTCTTCTGGGCTGATTTTCATAAATCTTTAAGTCATGGAATACAAAACAAGCCAAGTTTCTAGCTGCATCCATTCCAGTAGGAACATATGGAAGAGGTAGCTTTGTTTGGTTTTTCCCAGTTGCAAAATTCAAAAGCACAACTTTGGCTCAAAGTTTAAAAAAAAATCACTCCCTTTGGATGAGAAGATACAGAGCACTTGTATGAGGAAATCCTGATCAATCAAAGTAGGAAGGTTAGAATAGATCTCGGAACTCGGCTTTTTAAGTATAATTAAATCATTTTAGTGCGTCTTCTCCCCAGCAAAAGCCTCGTGAGTTGCCTTTTGTGGAGATTTATGAACTGTGGTGACTGTGCCTGTAAGATCTAGAACATTCTGCGTTAGCAACGTTCAAAAGCTGTGTTCATTGGCAGCAGCTGGAGCTTGAGAAAGTGAACCACACAGTGAAGTGAAGCTGGGTGTAACTTGTAAAGGGTGACCAGCCCGAGCCGTCCCCTCCCCCCAGTTATGCACTGTTAAACTAGTGAACCGGTTTACATCCCAAGGGCAGGATCCCTTCCACTTCCATGGTAGATAAGGATGGTCAGCTACACATAAGATCAGGCCCATTCCAGTGATAACTAGATGCGTGTTTTGTTGTTGACAGGGTTGAAGCAAAGAACCAGGAAAAAGGGTCTTTGCTGCAGCATTTTGAATGGTTGTGAGTGGGGCATGATGGAATTTATGGAGGCACGAAGGAGGGTCTGTGCAGTCGAGATGCAAGCGAATGAAGGCTTGGATGAGAGTTTCAACTGTTTTTTACTAACTTCCTTAGCGCCCGGGGTGCTCATTGTGGGGGTTAACCTGTTCTTGACTTGCAGAGCTATGCCTATTGCAGTTTGCCACTTTCGGATGATCTCTGGCCTGGGTTGAAGGATTTTTACAGATTTGAGTCCTACCAGGTACAGGATCCCATGGTCCAAAGGTCCAGCCAGACCAGTGTCCTGTCTTCTGACAGTGGCCAATGCAATCCATTCATAGGGAATGAACAGAACAGAATCAAGTGATCCACCTCCTGGTTTCTGGCAAACAGAGGCTAGGGACACCCCGAACAGGAGGTTTCATAAATGGTGATTTTGGCCAACAGCTATTGACAGACTGATCCCATGCAAAATGATCGAATTCCTTTTGGAAGCCAGTTATATTGCTGTCCATCACAACGTCCTCTCGTAATTTGCTCCACAGCCTGATTTGTGCGCTGAGCGAAGAAGTAGTTCCTTCAGTTTGTTGTAAACCAGCTGCCACTTCATTCCATTGGGTGATTCCTGGGTCTGGTGTTATATGATAGGGGTAGATAACACTTCCATATTCACTTTCTCCACATCATTCATGTTTTGTAGACCTGTATCATATTCCCTCCTTAGCCATTTCTTTTCCAAGCTGAAAAGACCCAGTCGTATTAACCTCTCCTCATATAGAAGCTGTTCCATACCGCTAATGATTTTTGTTGCCCTTCTCTGTACATTTTCCAATTTGTTTGTGTGTGTGTGTGTGTGTGTGTGTGTGTGTGTGTGTGTGTGTGTGTGTGAATAAATTAACTATGCTGCAGGTGGTCCCTCGTGCATAGCGGAAGAGGGAGGAGCACAGAATGTTTGTGGCCTGACAGTTTAACTGCCATGCTGGTTTGTTATACGTTATACCAACTTGAGAAGAAACCACTGATGGGTAAGGCTGTGAGTTTGTCTTGGAGGTTGCAGAAATCATGGATTCTGTGTCATTCCAAGACCTCCCTGATCTCTGCAGTGGATTTCTGAACAGCGTGAGCAGTCCCTGGGCCCGCTGCACTGGCCGATGCTGGGGTAGTTTTATACCTCCAGCAGTGGCAGGAATTTGGGTGCAAGAGGGGGCTCAGATGCAGCTGGGTATTGGGACATGGGAGGGTGTGAGACCTCCTGAAGGTATCAAGTATCAGAGGGGTAGCCGTGTTAGTCTGAATCTGCAAAAGCGACGAGGAGTCCTGTGGCACCTTATAGACTAACTGAAGTGTAGGAGCATAAGCTTTCGTGGGCAAAGACCCACTTCGTCAGATGCATGTCATGCATCTGACGAAGTGGGTCTTTGCCCACGAAAGCTTATGCTCCTACACTTCAGTTAGTCTATAAGGTGCCACAGGACTCCTCGTCGCTTCTCCTGAAGGTAGTTACCGTGGGCAGCTTCCCATAAGTAGCGAAATATCCTTCCCAGACAGAGGTACAGCCAGCAGCTCTGTACGTTGCCTCTGCTGACACGGCTCCTGTGGGCTGTAGTTCTTGGCCAAAGGGGGCTATGGAGTTGGTGCTTGGGGTGGGGGCAGTGCATGGAGAAGGGCTGCCAACTCTCCAGGATTGGCCTGGAGTCTCCCCACATTGACATCAGTCTCCTGATTACTATTGAAAGCAGCCAGGGAGATTTTAATCGGGTGTTTTAAGAAAATGACATTACATCATGCTGGAAAAAGCCCTTCCTGGAATAGCGTCAGTGGGTGGAAGCCCTAAGACGGAGCCTCCCCTCCCCCAGCTGAACTCCACCGAGGAGCCAAGTGACATGACCACTGCTTCCAGGGATCCGCCACAGAGTCAGGGAGGGAGCCTGCCAAAGCTGCCACATCCCTCTCCCCCAGCACCAGCGGGAGTCCCGGGCTGTGCGCCGCTGCCTGGCTCCGTCAGCATGAGCAGGGATCCCAGGCTGCTCCCCACAGATCACCAACCCCAGGCCGCACCCTCTCCCAGTACCCGGATGCCCTGTGGGCTGCCACATCCTGAGCACCTGCAGAGCTCCCCAGACCGCCCCCCTCCAGTGCCCAAGATTAGCCAAGGGTATATTGCACACGTCACGGACAGGCTGTGAATTTTTGTACCCGTGAGCCCTAGAACAGATTCGGGCTCAGTAACAATGGTTATCTGTGACACGGGACGGGGGAGGGGAAGGTTCCTCACCGGACATTCTGACCACACGGGCAGTTTGTTCTTCTGGAGTGTGGAGCAAGGACATTCAAGCTGTCCAGATGATTTTCCTTTCCTGACACTCTCTCTGTATCTCTCCTTTGCTTGACTGTCTCACTGGGTTCTTCATGATCCACATAAAGGTTAAGTTAGCCCGGCCTTCCGTGTGCTTCAGAACTCTATTCCCGCTTAACGTCTCGCATGGCCTCCGCCTTCTTTTTAATTCAGTTACACTAGGCTGTCCCATCTTCTTCCTCAGTTACATAGTTTGTTCCTTTCATGCTACTCCTTATGCTTAAATCATTAATTAAAACTGAGCAGTCTTCTCTACCGCCTAAGAATCTCTTTAGAAAAATTTCCACAGAAAATGACCAGAGGGCTTGTGATGTTCAGCTGTCAGGTCGAAGGCTGCTCCCAGGTACCAGGTAACCAGTTAACTGGTTACCCATTCTCATCCCTAATTGGGTAAAAATTTCCTTTCGTTTAAATGAGTTGTTGTACAGTTATGGTCTACACAAATAACAAATATGTATAATATGCCCTCATGGTGCAAAAAGATTATTCCACATTATTAATTTCCTATGATAGAGTTAACATGGTCCGACCTTGCTTTGCTTTGTGCTTTTATTTGTGCATATTTGCATACAGGTTTGAAAGAAACCACATTTAATCCCATGCATACTTGTGTTTGAAATGTGGTGTCATTTCTTTATCTTCCCTTTCTTTTTGTGTTGATAGTGACTTCCTTGGAAAGAACCCTCAGATCCCTTGGGACCTCGAATGATACTCAAGAGCTGCGAGATGGGCTGTGAGTCTATTTTGTATTGCTGGGGGTCTCTGTCTTGCTCTTTCCATATTATTCCCACCAATCCTTTGTCCTCCCTGTGCCTCTCCTTATGTCACTGGACAACTTTTTGTCCAACTCTTTTGTGTTACTTCACACTTCGGAGTGATGTAGGTAGGAAGTGCACTGATGTTGTGAAATTTTGTGCTGGTTCGAGAAGGATGGTGAGTGGATAAAGGAAAACGACCAGTTCATTATATTTTTAATGTGAATGCGATGGCCAGAATTGGAAACTGAATTAGGCTTTCCTTGCCAAGAACAGTCAAGCGGAGAGGAGGGGGAGTAATAGGAAGACATACATTTACAACAACACCCTGCTTATTACGGTGTCATAACCGGCATGGGTCAGAACACATGAAATGACACAAAACAGCATGTTACATTTCACTTCTAGCAGATTTGGGTAGTGTCCCTCTCTCTCTCTCTCTAACACTAACACAGACATTTTCATTGTATACACACTAAGTGGGGTGCAATTTGTGGTTAAAAATGACTCTTTGATAATGACCAATAAAACAAAATCAGAGATAAAAATCAGTTCTGGCCTCATGGATGTGAACATAACTCCTGGCACGTCCACATCAAGGCAGAGTTTGGCTCCTATTCAGAGGTGCCGACTGCAGGGATGCTCCGGGGCTGGAGCACTCACAGAAAAAAAAAAAAAAGAAGTGGGTGCCCAGCACTCTCCAGGCACCTGCTTGAGGGCAACTCCAATTAGCCAATCAGAAGCCACCAGACAAGGGATTGGCAGCTGGGGAAGAGGCTTGAGGGGGTGAGAGCTGTTAGCAGGTGGTTGCTTCTCAGAGGAGGCAGAATGGGGTGCAGTGGCAACAACCAGTGGGCTTGTGGGCAAGGGGCGGGGGAAGCTCTATGCTCCCGGAAGGGGTGGGTCCTTAGGCAAAAGGGGCGGGGCCAGGCCAGCCAGTCCTCTGTGTCACTCAGAACATGGTGCTGAGCCTCCTAAATCAGCACAGCGCTCCATGTGATGATTTAAAGGGCCCAGGGCTCCCGCTGCTGCCTCAGTAGCCTTTTTTTAAACCCTCGTTGTCTTTGCGGCTTGATCACCACCGTGCTGCTCCTTTTCGTTGCTGTTTCACCCACACAACATCCAGGTGTGCCTGACACATCCAGCAGCAAAGGACGTGCGTTCACCTGAATGAGCCTGCTGCCTTGAGCAACGTGGCAGGTGTGCAACTTCAGATGTAGCGAAAGCACTAGGCTGCATGTAGGCATAGCTACCTTGCCTCCTGGAGGCACTAAACAGTCCAGCACCGGAGCTGCCATTCTGACACCGGGTTTCATTGAGCTCTCGTCATGGCAGATGATGTTTTACCTCAGACATACTATACAGCTGTTCCTCCGGGGCTGCTCCAATTTGGATGTACCTTGAACACTCTGCAGTTACCCTCGCTCATTCTTCAGAAGAGACCTCTGAGACGTGTGTGCTACCTCTGCAGCCAGCCATGACGGTTTAATCTCTTTCCCCCTCCTCAGCACGCAACCCTCCTTGTTGTGTGATTGTCCCATATTTCCCCTTGCGTATCCCCCAGCCCAGAAAATGTTCAGGGAGCAATGTGTGAACTTTGGGTTACGTGGGCATAAACTTTCATGGGCAAAAAACCCACTTTGTCAGATGCATCTGACAAAGTGGGGTTTTGCCCACAACAGCTTATGCCCCCCCCAAAAAATCTGTTAGTCTTTAAGGGGTCCCAAGTTACCTTGTTTTTTTTGAAAATACAGACTAATGCAGTTATCCCTCTGATATTTGGTAAGTTTATTGCTTCTATTGTTACTGTGAAGACCACGTGTGCGTAGAATGATATTTAGGGTATTTAGGGCACGCTCTTTCGATAGAGGGATGCAAATGAAGACATTTGAAACTGCAAATGAAGCCAGGATTTAAATATCCCACGCTTCGTTTGCATATCCGTGCTATGGCGCTATTTCGAAAGAGCGTTATTTCAAAATAACAGACGCTGGTAAGACAAGGTTATTTCAAGAGAAAACCTTTTTCTCGAAATAACCCTTATTCCTCATACAATGAGGTTTACCAGTTATTTCGAGAGAAGGGTTTTCTCTTGAAATAACCTTGTCTTACCAGCGTCTGTTATTTTGAAATAACGCTCTTTCGAAATAGCGCCATAGCACGGATATGCAAACGAAGCGTGGGATATTTAAATCCTGGCTTCATTTGCAGTTTCAAATGTCTTCATTTGCATCCCTCTATCGAAAGAGGGTGCAAGTGTAGACTTACCCTCAGATAATAAAATTGCCATACATTCTGGTTCCATGCTTTGTGTCTACATCTCTCTGATTGGAGTGAAATTGAAGTGTATGTGTATATGTGTGTGGCGGGGTCCTCCCCGCCCCGTTCCCTTCTCCCCGAGATTAAAGCAGTAGCAACAGGCCCGGAGGCCTAGTCTAGTAGCCGCAATGGGCCCTGAGGCATAGTCCACAGTCACAGTAGGCCCTGAGGCCTAGTCCAGCAATCGCAGCAGGCCCAGAGGCCTAGTCCACGCCCTGACGGGTTGGGGTAGGGGGGTCCGGGCCCTCCCTCTCCACCGGACCCCAACCCAGGGCCCTAATGGTGGTGGGTAGTTCCCACCACTGGTTCAGCGGGGGGGGGGTCCTCCCCGAAATGCGCTGAGCCCACTGGGGGGGTTTCCCTGTCCCTTGCCCTGGGTTGCTTCCTACCCCAGCCTTGTGGCCGACGGAGGTCCCACCTGGCGATGCTGGGCTGGCGGCGGCGGCAACGTCAGCTGGTCCCGTCTCTGGGGGCAGCAGCGCAGGGGGGGTGTCCCCTGTAGCGGGGCGGGCGGGCGGCCCCCCGGAGGCGGCGTCGGGGGCGTGCTCGCCCCGGGGATGGTAGCAGCAACAGCGGCGGTCCCTCCAGCTCTGAATCAGGCGGCAGGTCCGGCGGCAGGTCTGCAGCTTGGGCCGGAGCTCCTTCCTCCCCGGCGGTCTGCCTCAACTGAGCAGCCTGACAGCCTTTTATAGTCAGGCTGCACTTCGGGCATGCCCAGTAGGGCTGCGGGGGCGGGGCATGCTCTACCCAATAAACGGGCTCCTCTCCCTCCTGCTCAGTGTGGGTCAGGTTAGCCCCGTCACAATGTGTATGTGTATGTGTATGTGCTACAGCAAGTTACAGTGCTATAAAACACCAGTGTTAACCAGACTACAGCCCTGGGAATGCTGTCAGTTCCTCCCCTTCAGGTGGATTACCTAGAGCATTGGGAGATCTTTCCCACTGCTCCTGTTGTGGCCACACTGTTGTGTTAAAGTGCTTCCACGGCTCCATGTCCGCAGCTGCACTTTAAACTTTTAAGTGTGCACAAAGCCTACCTTGCCAGAGAAGCAAAATGGTTTGTTTACTTACTCATTGAGTAGGAAAGTTTTGTCTGATGTGATGAGTTTTTTCTAAATCTGACTCTTCGCGTATTTTGAATGGGGCCAGAGGTCTGATAGAAAAAATGGTTTGTGATCATGTAATTGGACTGTCACAAAGCATATTCAGAAGGGGGCTGAATTAAGAAAGGTTGCACAGGCAACCTCAAACCCAGCATTTCCTAACTTGTGGGTGCTTCACTTTGCTGTTTTAATGTTCTTTTAACATAGTTTTTTTGAAGCAATATAAGTAGAATTTTTTTTATTGAGATTTGTGTTGTAGCCCTGACGTAAGTTCTCTGCTGAAAATAAATTCCAAAATGTGTTTGAGAATAATGAATTTAGCTGAGCAGCTCTGGCATGAGTCAAGGGCAATGAACTTTTTTTCCCCAAGTGAAGAGGAATTCAGAGCATTTGGATTGCTTGTGATGCTTGGCTTTCAGCCATTCTGCTTAAGCACCTGTTCTCCCATGGCGTATATACTGTGCCAGAAGACATTTATGGATCAACGCACTGTTATTCAAGTGCCGTGATAGAGAAAAAGATTATGTAGCTCATTGGCAAGTGGAATTGTGAAGTAACCAGCAGAAATTTTCCCGAAGGTTCATCACTTCCTCCTTCCATTTGCCTTTCCTCTTCCCTAAAAACCAGGATCACACGCCCTGAAGAACCACCATAATATTCTGTGGGGACAGTTACTTTCTCCACCCAACAGGCACCATAAAATGATCCCTGAAAATAAAACATCTTACTCCTACCCGCACAAGGAAAAACACTTGATACACTACCCGAAATCTGTATCACCACATTTAACTCAAGTCACACCCCTCATCTCTTGGTTATTAGATATTCAGAAAATAAAAAGAGGTCTGTCTGAAAATTCTTGGTGCCCCTGAATCTGGATTAGGAGCAGAGAGCTTCTGTTGCCTCCGTATTTGGCACTGGTTCAACTGTTGCTGGAATCCTGCGTCGAGTTCTGGTGCCCATTCTACAAAAAGGATGTTGATACATTGGAGAAGGTGCAGAGAAGAGCCACAAGAATGATTAAAGGGTTAGAAAACCTGCCTTAGGCTATGTCTAGACTGCAGGGCTTTTTAGAAAAAAGTGACCTTTTTTCAAAAAAACTTCACCTGTATCTGGACTACTGCCGCGTTCTTTTGAAATTAAATTGAAAGAACGCAGTGGTTTTTTCGACAGTGGTAAACCTCATTTTACGAGGAAGAACGCCTTTTTTTCAAAAGAGCTCTTGACTGCAAACAGGGCTTTTTTGAAACAGAGCATCCAGATTGCCTGGGTGCTCTCTTTCGAAAAAGCGGATCACTTTTTCCAAAAAAGTTATGGCTGTATAGACGATCTCTTCCGAAAGAAGCTTTTTTGAAAGATTCTTTTGAAAAAGCTTCTTTCGAAAGAAGCATGTAGTCTAGACGTACCCTAGAGTGCTTGACTCAAGGAGCTCAGTCTATATAGCTCAACATAGAGGAGGTTAAGGAGTGACTTGGCTACCATTTATAGGCACCTACATAGGGAACAGATAGTTTAATAATGAATTTTTCATCCTAGCAGAGAAAGGTCTGAAACGA